TTGAACAAGATAAAACACATAGGTTAAGTTCTAAAATATGCCGACTTTTTAAAAATAAATGATTTTGACGCACTGGTACTAATATAATTACATAATATTAAGGATGCAGTGTCCGAACCAGAACCAACTCCTTACTCGTCACCACCAGAGAGACAATAGGTTCTACTCACCCTAGCTGCAAATCACCGCGGTTTCCACATCGTGGCCACCAGAGATATACAGTTTCCGCCTTCAATTATTTCCCCAAAAATCCGACGCCAGATAATAATCTCGCGCTTTATATGGAATTTCTAAGGACGCTCACGATGATGTGCGCCCTTGGAGCAGCCCTGAAATTATCGCTTCTGATTGGCCAAAATTATTCTATGCCCATATATGGAAGACTGTTCCACATTCCATCTCCACATATGGGAGACACACGCATGCATTGTTCTAACATGAAGACCCTTTTTAAAGCTAATACACGCAGTTTGAGTGATCCTTGCCACTACAGGGTCATTAAAATTCCAGTTGCTATCCCAAACTTCACACCAGAGGTGGGACTACAATTAAGATTAACAAGTTTAAAAAAACGTGGGATCCAAATAAGCCACAGCAATACGCATTTCAGCCAATTACAAACTTTAGTTTCTCTGAAGAAAGTTAGGTTAGGTTTATCGAACATTTTTCGACATGTGGTAGAATTCCCTTAACGAGAGGTCGTCGCCTCACGAGGACGTTACGTCACAGAGAAAACGCTAACATAACACTCACGCCTCGAATGGGATTTGAATCGACAATCCTAGTGACCGTCTGTCTATTGCTGTAGATTGTATCATTTCCAAAAAATAAAAAAATAAAAAATAAAATACTTATACAGTATTTAATATTAATATGCTTAGTATCACAGAAAACGTTTACAAAATAAATTAATCTGTGTTGTATCCTTTGAAACACGTAGCATATTTAAATAATATTTACGAATTCAGTTCGTACCTCAAAGAAAACTGAGTTATGTACGAGGTATAGCTCATTCTCAACCTCGGCAATAGATGGGGGGTGAGTGGTTAGCGAAACACTTTACCCCCGCGAAAGGACCCCATTTGACAGGATGCTAGGTGGGCCCCAAAGCCGGTCTGAACACAGAGGCTATAAGAAAGTCCAGCTGATCAGATGTTGGTTTTTAATTTCGCTGCTGGACGTGTGATGGTCGCTCCACGTCCGTTGATTAATTCATATTTTACGTAACGATGTTTTTTTCAGTTGTTTTTTTATGTAGCGCGTAATGGTAAGGTGGAATAAAAGAATTTGGTCGGAGAATTGAACCCAGGACGTTTCGGTGCTAACCACTCGACCTCGACTATCGATGGCTGTTCAAGTTTGAATAACTGTTCACATTGTGGTGTTGTGGAAACTGGTTAGGAGAAAATTTTATTTAATTATCAAGATGATTCATTGTTACAGGTCATCATCTCTGGCGATAATTGTCAAGAGATTGTGACAGAGGAAGTAGATGCCCAACAGATCGTTCACGAGGAGGCTCTGCCTTGGGAGGTAAGTAATGTATGGTGCTGGGTCTTCAGTATAAGAAGTCCATGATTGTGGTTCTCTGTCTTGGCTACAAGACAGACATCTTCATTATTTAAAGGTAAAGTAAAGTTGTCCCACAACACGCCATATAGGCGCTTGGGGGGAGAGCCCGTATAGCTCCTACTCATTCTTAACCTCGTCACTAGATGGGGGTAAGTGGTCAGCGTCACGCCCCGGCCGCGCTTTGCCCCCTGGAAAGGACCCCGGTACTCATTGGATAGGAGGCTGGGGCTAGAGGAAAAATCCTCTGCCCCCGTCGGGGATCGAACCACAGTCGTCTAGCCCGTAGCTAGTCACTATACTGACTGCAGGTAACCAACTTTGTGGAGCAGTGTTTTCGCGAAAATAATTTTCACTGTTCTCGTCAAAAAATTCACTGTCTTCTCCTCAGCTAGTTGAATGCAGTCCATAATCTCACGTATTTCTTTAATATCCATTTTAAAACTTCCCTCCCATTTGCACTTGTATTGCCCATATCTCCATGCATGCTACATTCCCCGTCCAGCTCGTCGTTCTTGATTAATAGTTTAGTTATAAAATTCGCTTGGTTCTTTTTTTCGCGTTTTCCGGCGAAGACACAGCAGTATCAGTAATAACATTTAAATTTCATTGATTGAAATGACAGCCGACGAAGTTGTGGTCTGTAGACTCGACCGCGTACTAATCCCCGATTTTGTATTCTGATGTAAGCATCATCCATGAAGAGCACTTACATTAAGCCAGAACTGCTGAGTAATCATAAAGGAAATGAACAATGATCTTCTTCCTATTTACTACGCGACAGTTGGGGTACTGTTACAAGTGGTCCAGGATATTAAAATTCTGGGGCTTGTGTATCATCTTTAAATAGGCCACTGTATCTTTACACTTGCTTAATATCCTACAGCCAAATCGTCAGTTACTTATGCCCTTGCATACATTTATGTAGCGTTAGGCAGAGGACAGCAGCAACTAGCTACAGGCTATAAATCTTTTAGGTTATGTGTTTAAAATAAACATCTGAACAGCAGCGATTCGATGGTTGAAGTAACAGGCACTGACATCTATGGGTAGGGGCTAGAAAACTCATCGTACGATTTGATAAATGCTTCAGTCTCCGCTAGGCTAGCAAGCCAGGTAGAAGACATGTGACGTACGTTCCTAATAGAAGGTTCGTTATTTCACTGTAAACTTATTTTCCGACAATTTCTTTTGTTTATCATGCGACGTACATCACGTAATTCGCCAAGACCAAATTATTTTGCCTCTGTATAGGAGATGATGCTCCTATTTGGAAGCTTTGAAGGTGGCCATATTGATAATCGAAGCACTTGGCAGTGTGCGCAGCTAACAGTGATATTCAACAATTATCTCAGCTACGATAGGAGCACGCTATAACATACTGCCATCAGCTTCCCCCCCCCATAAGTTAACTTCCGAAAATTAATATGAAAAAGGTTTTGATATTTTTACTTGATAAAGAATAGTATGATGCTGAATGAATATTGTAATTATTCTATATTTTAAACAAAATTTGTGCCAAATGAAATACACATTAGAATTTAGAATCTGCGAAGTAAACAATAACAAATACAGAACAAGAACGAAACGGAAGATGTTATCACAAGATTTTTCACGCAACTGTCTTATGACGACTAAAGGTGCCAATCGACGAGGTAACATTTCGAAATTAAAAGTTTGGTACTAATCTACCCTAGGAAAGAAGATAATTTTTCAATGTAAGGTTCACACCTTAGGAAAAAGTTTTCGAAAATTAAGTTCGAAAATAAATGCGCCAAATAACCGTGGGAGAGTATTGTTACGAATTATTGTCGTCGCTGAAATATTTGTGTTATTGTTCTGTCTCGCTTAATTAATGGATGCTTCTTGAAACTGTCTTTTGTTCACTGTGGCAAAATGCCCTGAAATGCAGGAGGCAAAATGCTAATCGATTTGGGTATTTTTACAGGTAAAAAATATTAGTTTTTCTCAAGGGAATTTTAATGGGGATAATAACACATGCATTTGTTACAGGCCAATGTTTACATTTCCAAATTTAATATTTATATTACCAAACAGATTTCCGTCAATTTTTGCAGGCTGATTGCTTTTTTATTTTTATTTTTTTGGAATAATAGCAATGTCTTGAAGCTGAGTAGAATTTCTTAGTCTCGTAATTTTGTTAAAACTTCTTTGTTTCTGCACGCTTCCATTTTGACACACTCGAAATTAAAATAGAAAAATATATAGATTGGCGCAAGATAGGCGACAATGGAGGATCGCATCGAACCAGTCGAAAGACTGATGACAAACAAACAAACAAACAAACATTTGAGAAGCTAAGCAACTCATCACACTCTTACGTCATTACAGCTCGTGTGTATACAAGAGGGTGCAATGTGAAACAAATGTGTGTGACAGTTGAAGAGTCAATCTGGTCACGTGATAGGCAGGTGCTCTCGAAAATCACCATCCGCTTGACGGACGGGAACGTTCAATGAAAATGGTATTTACGCTATCAGAGTATAATGGTTCGTACTTTCTTTCAACAAACTTTCCTCATCTAAAGAAGCCTATCTTAATTAGTCTTTGCTTCAAAATCCAATCGCCCTTAAATACTCAACATGAATTGAAATTCTATATGACTTCGTCCATTCATCGTTGGGCAGGAGACAGATTTTTCAGTAGAATATTATTGCAATATTCTAAACCAGGGGTGGCCGACCCGCGGGCCGCATGTGGCCCGCCTTGAACATTTTTCCGGCCCGCGCGATTCATCACACTTTTACAAAATATATTTATTTTATAATGGCCAAAGTAGTGAAAACCAATGTATTAAAAAAATACATTATTTGTGCATCCATATATTCAAAAAGTATCTGTCGAAATTATGAGAAAAAATTAACTTTGATTTTAAAATAATAATATATGACAGATATTGCCTGTTTTATTCATTATAGTATCTATGTTTACATGTAAGAATAATAGTAAACACAATAATAATAACTCATTATGTTTCAATTTTTCACTCCAAAAAAATGTCTATAGTGTATCTAAATCTAATATGGGGATATATAATTTTATATGTGGCCCGCGGAGTTATGATGCATTTCCAAAGTGGCCCGAAAGATCATTTGGGTTGGCCACCCCTGTTCTAAACAATGTAAATTGTTCGCCCTGATGATGAAGACATGGCGCAACATTCGAGAACACCGTCATCTGTTATCTTATATGGCTTCGGTTGATGTTATTAGAATACACAGGACGATTTAAATTGCCGTGTGATGCAGTTTGGTTTAATTTTGTGTAATTTGCAAAATATCGGCGACGACGTACTATGTATTCTTACGTTAGTATCATGTACTTTGATGTGGAAGGTATCTTTCCGTGTAACCTGTTTGAACTGTGCATGCGCATGGCCGCACCAGAGCCATCTCGCGACGAGAAGACGCCATTAGTTCAGTGCCGATCAGTATTCAGGTTTTGCCGGATGCGTGACAGTCTGTTGTCTGGTTGTGGTAGTGTATTTGAATTTGAATAGTCTAAAACCGTTCTTTACGTATTTTCTGTTATTCCAAGTGGATGGTAGTGAAGTTTTTGTGAGTGTATATACTTGAATGTTGACGGAATGTACATTTGAAACGAACACGCACAACAACTTGAAGAGCTGTGTTTAAAATTTATCGTTTTATATTGGTATTTCAACGTGTGAATCATGAGCACTCCTGTGAAGAAAGTACCCATTCACTTACAGGTTAGTTGATATATGGTTAAAGATGCTTATTTTTATACTACATTGTTTTGTAAACTGTGGGGCACAGCGCCCTTTAGCACAAGTGAATGATTGTATGAAATTGTAGTTAAATTTGCGACGTTAAGACTATTTTCCATATTTTTGCAGTAGGAAATTTGATGTGCGAGTGGTTTCAACAGGTCCAGTCTTGCATCGATATGTTTGTGTAGGCTTGTTAGGGTGGAGGTAACGAAGGGTGGGACAGGTGGCATTTTACCCTGTCGCCATTAACCATGTTGTACCTAAGAAAACCATACAGGGGCCTTTGTAGTTGCAAGTTAGACTCGCTGTGCACAATTTTTAAAAATATGTGTCGTGGAATTATATATTGCATACTTTTCTGGTGTAGTACGGAGTAACAGTATGGTGGTTGGATTCCATTTTAGTTCTTTTAATAAAATGTTATTTAAGTGGTTTTGGTTATAACACGGAGTAACAGTATGGTGGTTGGATTCTATTTTAGTTCTTTTAATAAAATATTATTTAAGTGAATTTGGTTATAATAAAAGCATAGGAATGGAATTAGTTGCGTTTGTCAAGGGTAATAATAAATTAAATATGAATGTTGATTAGTCAAATGCCGTTGTGATTACAAAATGCGGAACTGCGCATTTCAGTGCAAACTACTGACCAGTTATAGCTCTCGACCGTGAAACTCCATTCAACTCATGCATTGCCTACAAAAAAGCAATGATGGGCGTGACTGGGAGATTATGTCGAGGGAACTTCATTTTATTGCGTGTTTACTGATGTGAAGATTACACTAACTGAGCCCGGTGGCACAATGGTAATTTCGAAGGCCCTCGGTTAGAAACCCAGTTACGAACCGGCTATTCTGAATTAGAGTTTTCGTAATTTTCCTCAGTACGACGTATCGTGGTATGTCATTTGACTTTTTAATCTTCTGAAGTTGATATGGCGTCTCAAGGTAACGGAATAAACATAGTAATTCCACCCGACATCGCGATTGAGCGGTGCTACGTATTCAGAAGATCCTGGATTCGAAACTCGAGCCGCACACCGGTGTCGTTACTGAGGTTTCGTGGATTTTCTCAGTTGCCCAAGCCATGCTGGGATGTGCCACAGACTGTTGCGTTCATATCCTTCACAATTTATTCAGGAATCGCCCACTCGTTCAGCGTCGCGTACTCTGTGAAATTCAATTAATAATCAATCATCTTACGAGTTATTTTATTTTGTGGTTCAACAATGACTTTAAAATTTGTATGTAGAATGTTCTCTTTCGATTGTTAGAATAGATTTCTCATTATGAATCGAGTTACCTCCAGCTCTGGGAATTTTCCATTGTTACTCGGTTCGAATTGCTATAGTTTGAACGACAGGCGGTAGGTAGCATACGGAACCCACGTCCAAAGTTGGATTCAGACTCGCCATAGACCAAATAAAGACGTAATCTGATCATAAGATTGCAGACGCTGTCTTTAATAACGACGATCACAGGTTCGGGATAGTCAGAACATGGATTTTGAATTACCTTCTCGGTGTGTTTAGAAGGTTCTACAGTGAAGTGCATGGCAGTGGGTTAGACCAAAGAATAGTCACCAAGGTTGCGTTCATTTTTGGTTATGCAAATATTTACACACACACCGAACAGTGTCTAAACAACTTCCAATCTTTCTCCCTGAAGTATGCATGAATTGTTGGTTTTTTCATTAGCATTTTTGAATATACCCACAGTTTAGCAGAATTATCGGTTGTGACGACATGAGGGGATCGGGGCAGAAAATTTGTCTCGTCTTGGCAGTTTCTGAGATTTATCTAAAATGTTGCAATTCGTCCTAACAGATTACAGATTTGTGTGACATTTTCTGTTTTATTTAAGATGCTTCAGAATGATGGTTCTTTAGATTACGTAAGATCTACAGCTGATCAAATTTTGTACATTCGCCAGATACCAGAGAAAGTGTGGGAGTACAATGGAACAGTCCATCAACTATATTTATAGACTTCAGGAAAGCCTGTGACTCAGTTAAAAGAGAAGCTGTTTACAATATTTTGCTTTCCTGTTGAGAATGGCCTGAAACAGGGAGATGCTTTATCGACGCTGCTTTTCAATTGTGCCTTAGAAGTTGCCATCAAGAAAGTTCGAAAAAATCACGGCGGTTTGGAATTGAATGGGACACATCGACTTTGGTCTGTGTCGATTAATATTAATCTGTTGGGCGATAATTTAAATACAGTAGGTTCCTGTTAACTAGACCATCGGTTAAAGAATAAATATTTTTAGCTCTTTACGTGGAACTTCGCATAATTGAGGTTTTTACAGCGGTGAGTCTGAAGATTTCTGTCTTCTGGGTTGTTGCGCTGTGTAGTCTGGTCGATGTTAACCAACGTTTCAGAGGTCCTTGCTGCCTCCATCATCAGGGCTAGGTTTATAGGGATCTGCTAGGATGATGCTACTCCGTTTATTGTCCGGTCCCTATAAACCTAGCCCTCAATATACAATCGACTTTTCAAAGAATTTTCTGCACCGTAGAGTGAGTGGGTGACTTCAGAATGGTGGAGTCTTGGATTTAAAATAAAGCGTATTACAGTATAGTTTCTTACCTTAATCTGTATGTGTATCGTGTGCTTGGAGCTTCTTTCCCCGTGGCAAAGCGACTAGGGCGTAGCTGACCTCACGCACTCGGCTACTGAGGTCAAGAATGCTTGGAACTTTGCCCCACATCCCGCCATACATGTTCAATTTGTGATGTTTAATTAAGTAGCGAGAGAGAAATGAAACTCGGAAGAAAATTGTCGTTTGTCTGCTGTTTTCCTTTTTAACATTTTGTTTGCCCGTCGGGGTCTGCCCTGCAGAGGCGGAATTGGAGTGAATTGGTACTAACCCGAGCTAGTCGATCCTTGGTATCGATTTGAGTAGTGATATCTCCACACGGCAGGAGGTTTCGAAATTGGTTTAATTTAAGTGACGTCTTTCTGTTTGCAAATTTATTATCTAATCTCGTCTTTATAATTTTTTGAATCATTTAATTTGAAATGCTTTGCCATCGTTCATGAGGTTAGACACTGGTTTCTTACCACGGAGACCCGGTTTCTATCCCAGGTGACTTCAGAGAAGATTCTTGTTGTAAGGGAGTTATTCCTCTGTTAATTATTTCACCACGAATTTTGCGATAGCCATGACTTATTTATTACGTTAATTATACCCTCGGCATGATTTGCTTGGGATTCAAGACAGTTTTGTTTTTATTTCCTTTGAAACTCGATTGGTAAGATATCGATACGCTAGTAACTATATAATTAAACTTTCAGATGTTTGTAAAATTATATTATGGTTTTGTTTTCTGTTGAATTTGTTTGTTTAAGACGAAATAAAGGTTTACTTTAACTGCCATGAAGATAAAGAACAGGTTTTTCCCTTGTCTAAGCACACGCTACTCCATAATCATACAGGGGGAATCGATGTGAAGTTCTCGATTTTAATATCGATTTTAGACGGATGCTTAAACATCAGGTCGTTTTAACTGCGGGGGTAGATAACTCATACGCTGAATGAAGAATTATTTTTAAAGAAATCGTAGTTGCTTTGGGAATAAACATTTAACCAATTTTATCGAGTGTGTATATAACGAAAATGTTATACTTTATGATCTCTTCATTGAAGTTTTTAGTTTTGTGTGAACATTTAAATGTATGCCGGTGTAAATAAATGAGGAAAATCGATATAAAAATAATTTTTAAGAGTACTAATGCGTACTTTATCCATAATCTCACGGTGATAATAGGGGTGCTTTAGATTTAGGTTTTATTTTATGTAATTTGTATTTCTATATGACTTCGAATTCTGTGTGAATGATTGTATAAAAATGGTAGTTTGGTAGCATATTTAGCTGTCGCGTGGCTCTGCTTATCGTATTATATAATTTATTACAGACACACACACACACACGTGCGTGCGTGCGCAATGAGAAAGAGAAATCAGTAGCAAAGAATCATTTTGTTGTTTAATATGAAATTCGAGTACTCCCATAATTTAATACTGCAGTATTTTTTTTGTTTATTTTAATTATTGTATCTTGAACTCCCGACATCTGCGTAATGACAGAGCGTAGACAATTTTTTTTCCTTTATAAGAATTAAGGCCACAGATGTAGAATTATCTTATTCTGTTGGTATATTATTGGGTGCTGGAATTATTATTACAAGGTTTATTAGTCTGAATTATGTCTACATGACGGTAAACATTCTCTTCAAAGTTTAATATTGTTGAGTGATTGGATTTATTAATGATGATGAAGAACCCACGTTTCTTATGGTGATGTCCACAGATCGGTTTAAAGAAATGTACGAGTTAATTAATTTAATAATAATTTTTTGATTGAACGTGACCCGAAATATAAATTCCATGTTAAATGAAGGAATAGAAATTTAATTATAGATGATGACGATCGAAGTCTGTGAAACGTTGAGAAAATTATTTGGAGAAACCGTTGTCAGGTGGAAAATGATAAATTCCTTGTTACTTGGTCAGGTAGCGTAGGGTGGAAGGTTTGATTTTTTTTACCTGAATCTGTTTCGTTGTTGTCAGACGTAAAGACGTTTTTAGTTGCTGGTTTAGGGTCTGGGATATATTGTTTGAAAATCAAAGGAAAACCTCGTAAGTAATGACGCAGCAAAAATGTTTGTGTTCAAGGACGAATAGTAAGTGGTGAGAAATAGGCACACACATGAGGAGGTTGGAACTCTCCAAGATTTTCCTACCGGAACCAGAGTTGCCACCTGTACGTAATTGTAGTTCCGGTCGACTTTAACCTCAGAAAATGTTCCCTGGTACCCACATTTTATATAGCGTTTAATAGCTTAGAATTCGTAAGACTTGAGGTTCTCACAGCGCAATAACCCAGAAGACGGATATCTTCAGCTTAGAATTCGTTTCTAGCATGAAAACTTTACGTAACGAGGACAGAACAAGCGCTTTAACTGTCGCAGAGCTAGGA